ATCCCTAGTACCACGACCCTTTCAAAACCCAGCCTGGACTTCTGGCAGTTCTCTGCTGATGTGCTGTTCCAGTCATTTTTGGATAATCTTCAGCAGAATCTTGCTTGTATGTGAAATTAATGATATTGTTCTATAGTTTCCACACTGTTGGGTCACCTTTCTTTGGAACAGGAACAAATATAGATCTCTTCCAATCAGTTGGCCAAGTGGTTGTTCTCCAGATTTCTTGGCACAACTTGGTAAGCACATCCAGGGTACCATCTGTTAGCTGAAATATGTCAATTTGTATACCATCTATTTCTGGGGCCTTATTTTTTGCTATTTCTTTCAAAGCAGCTTGAACTTCTTCCTTCATCACCACAGGTTCTTGCTCATATGTTGTTTCCTTAAACTCTTCAGTGTCTGCCAATTCCTTTCAATACAATGACTCAGTATATTCTTTCCATCTTCTTTTGATACCTCCTGGATCATTTAATACTCTGCCTAAAGCATCCTTGATCATAGCAACTTGAGGTTTGAATTTTTTCTTCAGTTCCTTGAGCTTAAGAAATGCTGAACGAGTTTGGCCCTTTTGGTTTTCTGACTTCAACTCCTTGCACATTTCATTGTAATATTATACTTTGCAATATTTGTAATATTTTACAAAATCCAAAGGGCAGCCAGTGTGTGCCCAGGGATAAAGCTTAAAAGGCAGGAAGGGACAGGATAGAAGGATGAATGGAAACAAGGACCACAGGGAGGAAATGGGAATCTGATATTACAAAGTGAAATTGTAATTCATTTCATAAATCAAAATGTTTATGAAAGGTTGACTGGAACCAATCTGCTCTGTAAATTTTCATTCAAATCACAATCATAAGGTTTTTGAAGGTGTTTGTGGGTGTGTTATAAATCTTAATTCCTATACCCATCAGTCAGGTGGATTGACGCAGTGACTACTGCAATGGGCTCCTGTGTGTCAGGAAGTGTGAAGATGATGCAGGATAGAACAGGGTCAGATCTTTTGTTTATAGGGTTGTTATGAGTCATACTCGATTCATCGGCATCTAACAAAACCAACAACATACCTGTGGATGTAAACCTATTTGGCAGTAGGTTTTATGTAGTATGTAAATGAGACCATATCAATATAGTATCTCAAACCAATCACTTTTGAGATATAAAAAGAGTAGGGGACACATAGAACAAAGCAAGAAAGCAGAGATGGAAGAAGAAATATTATCAAGGATGTGGCAAAGAAGGTGTACTGCAACCCCAAAGGTGCACGTTCAAATCCACCAGATGCTCTGCTGGAGAAGGAGGAATGATCTCCTCCCGTACTAGTCAGATCTGATTTGATGATAGACACACACACTCACAAATAAAATAAAAATAAAAAAAAGAAATACTATGAAAGAGCCAAAATTGAAGAGAGACAAGGGCCTTCTCACAGAGTTAACTAAAAGAGGCTTCAATCAATGCCCTGAATCCAGACCCTTAATATACTGTAAGAAAATACACTTCTGTTCACTCACTTCTGTTCACAAGTCACTCACTTGTTAGCAAAGTTTAAAAGGACAGAAAGTAATAAGTGTTGGAAAGGATGTGGAGAGATAGGAACTCTTACATGCTGTTGGTGCGACTGTAAAATGGTACAACCACTCTGGAAGGCAGTTTGGTATTTCCTCAAAAAGCTTAACATAGAAATTCCATATGACCCAGCTATTCTACTGTTTGTAATATACCCTGAGAAAATTAGAACTGAGGCACAAATGGAGATTTGCTCACCAGTGTACATAGCAGCATTATTCATCATCGCAAGAACACAGAAACTGTGCAAATATCTAACCACAATGAAATGGATTGAGAAATCGTGGTACACCATGGAATACTACACAGCACGCAGGAGCAATGATTTTAAAAATCACTAAATAACTTGGGAGGGACTAGAGAGCATTATGCTGAGTGAACTAACTCAGTCTCATAAGGACAAATATTTTATAAGACCATTATTGTAGAAATAGAAAGATAACTAGTAAAACGTATATGAGGACCCAAGAGGGGGAGGGTAGGAGAAGAATGGTGAGCATGGGTGGGGGTGGAAGGTAATCACAGAGTCACATAATTCGATGGGTCGAGCGAGGGGTGGGTAAAGGAAATGGGAAAGATCCAGTGTGAAAACAATGTATACGAACTTTGTAAGCAAACCAATATAAAATAAAAATTTTATTAGAGAAAAAATAAATAACATCCAGAGTCAACCATTTTGAATAATATTGCATGAGTTCCTTGTTTTTTAATGCAGCATAGTATTCCATTGTGCGAATATACCAC